TAACCTACTCACGCCGGCTTGTGCCAGTCCTCACAGTCGGGCATATTTGCGGAATGCACCACGCCGCCGTTGACCCTGGCCATTGACCGAGCAACCCAACGTTCCTACCAGCTCCCTCCGCAGGAATGTGTTACTGTTATACACCCCAAATTAGATACTAATTGAAGGCTGAGTCGACCTAGAGGAGTCCCCTAGCCAGGTTCAGTTACCACTTGGCACCGATATTATCCACGACCGGGTGTTCAACCCTGGTCACAGACATCTCGGGCGCAGTCATTGGCATTGCAAGGACAGATATTACCTGCTGGGGCGAATGCTGTCAGCGAGCACCTGTTAAGGTAGATGTTTGTGATGTGGTGAACTCCACGCCTAGGCAGACGCCTTTTCCTTTCTCAACTGTGGCGATGCTTATGATCAGATATCACGCACCACATCGTGGGACCTCCCTTGCCGGTATCAAAATACAAGATTAGGTGCTACCCTTTCTGGAAATAAAACAGTTGTGTTAAAATGTTCAAACACCAAACAGAAACCCTTTGACGATTCCTTGCGAAAGGTTTCTGTTTGGTGATTAAACATCTTAACACCTTAAATTTCGATTTAAAGCTTTCGTGACTGCAGGGATTAATCTTCTTGGTTCTTTCGGTAAAGTCACGTAGAAGGGAAATAATAAAATAATAATAATAAAACATAATAAAATAGTGAGAATTATTTTATAAAATAGTGAGAATTATTTTATTATGTTTTATTTTAATTATTTTATTATTTCCCTTCTACGTGACTTTACCGAAAGAACCAAGAAGATCTTAACACCTGTTTCGTTGCCAGAGAGGGTCAAACCTATGCTAATATCACTCACCACGGTTGGTGACCGTGGCCTGAAATCAAATGCAGGTGGTATGGGTCGTAGTGTAATGAATGAACCACTGACACACATAACAAAGAAGGCTCCATGTAGCCCGCAACGGCTGTTGGAGTGACTGCCGATAGCGAGTAGCGCCTGTGAAGGCCGCCACGGCACCCGAGTGCATTCGGTGGTCAGGACCACGCCCCTTCCACCTGTGTTTCCCCAGTGCCGGTGTTTACAAACTGCACCAGGTGCACAGCTAAGGTGGAGATCGCCTAGGAGAGGTCCAGAACCGGGTCAAATGTTCGCCACTGTTATGGGGTGAACGGCAGGAATATACCTCGGTTTCCTCCAGGTTCTTACAGCGCAGTGAGCTAAGCACTTTGAAAAATATATAAGAATAAGCTTTATCATTTCTGGATATAAAACTGGAGGTGTTAAGATGTTGAAACACCAAATAGACACACACCTATTGCAAGGCATCAAACCTGCATTTACCACGCAGACTTGTGGTGAACATGCAAACAAAAATGATCGGATAATATAAACATTTGTCTTTGTAACTGATTAGCCTGCACCATAGACAGTCTTCTGTAAATTCGATGCCTTGCCAAAGGTATCTATTTGATATTTTTTTGAACATCCTAACAACTGTTTTATTGCCAGAAGGGGTTAAAGACTATTATTATATTTTCATCATCTTGATACTGGCAAAAATGTCGCATCGACGCTAACCACGACACAACCGCTCCGCAGATCACACGGACACACGGTCTACTCGTTTGTAGCTCCCTACTGTGCTCTTGGCTTTGATCCAAAAATCAAGATTTCTGCGAGCGAAACAGATTATGGGAGCTGCTCCATTTTAGCGAAGAGAGCCCCTAAGCCCAGATCACGGCACAGACGGACTCCTCCCCACATCATCCACCCCCCACCCCCTCACCCCGACGGCAACCCAACCCCCCACATCATCACCGAGCCTTTATATTCCCACGGAGAGATCTCGTATCATCATCGCCGCACCTGTCGAGTTGGGAGCCTGCCCGACCCGCATCTTCTCTTCGCCCACACCTGCCCTGCCAGATGCACGCCCCCCCGCTCCCCCCCACACCCCCTCCACCCCCGCCCGTGCAGGATCAACTTCACCAACTTCAATACTCTCACGATCTGCCTCTCACTGCTCGTCTCTTAAACACGTAGTAATAATATTAGATTTCAACTTGTAACGCGCTACGCAGTATTCGCTCACTCTCGATGAGAGAGAGGGAGAGAGGGAAAACAACGACTAGGAAGATGAGCAACAGACACGCCGGGAGGGCAGCATTCAGCTGGTGAGCCGGGCACTACCAACGATTGCCCGAGCTCTGCCGGTCCCTTATATATTAAGGTGCTTTCAGCCAATGCATGAGTGTACAACACGCGGGAAGGAAACCCGAGCACCCGGAGATGAACGCCACGTATGGCGAGGAGTTGGGGGGGGGGGAGGGGGGGGGTAGGCGGTGGCCAGACTCTCGTATATACAGACGGACGGGTGAAGAGAGGAGTCGGCACTTTGCTGGAGCCGACGTCTCGTGGCGAACCTCGACGCCGCCCGCGGGGAGGGCGCGTGGCAACATCTGAGCGGTGATCCGCCAACCCTCGCTGCCTCCGCAGTGCCGGATTACAGGCCGCGTGCGTCGCCACCGCCGCTCCCTCCTCCTCGCTCTCATCCTGTGAAGTGTCCTCTTCACCTGCACGTTTACTTTTGCCGGCGTCTCCTTCGCCGCCTAGCCCGGTAGCGTTTGTATCACTCATTGCCAGCGCTCGGGAATTTTTTTATTATAAATATATCCAGTACATCCAAATAATTCCACTTCATGTTATCTCGAGGAGGCGAGCGTCCGTCTCGCTGTGGAGCGTATTCAGAAACGGTCGCGCTTGCGCCACGCTATAAATCCATCATAGTAACGCTCAACGGCAAACCTCCGTGCAGAATGCGAGGGTTGCACGGATGATTGCGTCGCTCCAAAAAAAAAAGACCAACACCGTGAATGCGGTAATTACAGCGATGCGCGCATCAAAGCGAGCGTTCCCGTGTTAACAAACTCGCGTGTGCTGTGCTGTACAAACACAAGCAGCGATGGCAGAGAATTCACCCCGAACAGAGTTCCGTGTCGTGCGCGCCACGATCTTAAGTTATCCACGAGTGCCGCTGCAAACCATATGCTTAATTGTGCGCGTGTAAGACATCCCCCTCGTGTGCCCTGCCGGCCTTCATTAGTCGCTCGCTAACGGCATTTGCCCCAACCGTCTGTTCAAGGTATCTACGAGGTGGGTGGGTGAGTGGCTGGGTGAGTAGCTGGGTGGATGGGTGAGTGGCTGGGTGAGTGGCTGGGTGAGTGGCTGGGTGGATGGGTGAGTGGCTGGGTGAGTGGCTGGGTGAGTGGCTGGGTGGATGGGTGAGTGTCTGGGTGAGTGGCTGGGTGAGTGGCTGGGTGGATGGGTGAGTGAGTGGGTGAGTGAGTGGGTGAGCGAGTGAGTGAGTGGGTGGATGGGTGAGTGAGTGGGTGAGTGGCTGGGTGGATGGGTGAGTGGATGGGTGAGTTGGTGAGTGGCTGGGTGGATGGGTGAGTGGCTGGGTGGATGGGTGAGTGGCTGGGTGGATGGGTGAGTGGCTGGGTGGATGGGTGAGTGGCTGGGTGGATGGGTGAGTAGCTGGGTGGATGGGTGAGTGAGTGGGTGAGTGAGTGGGTGAGTGGGTGAGTGGCTGGGTGAGTGGCTGGGTGGATAGGTGAGTGGCTGGGTGGATGGGTGAGTGAGTGGGTGAGTGAGTGGATGCGTGAGTGGCTGGGTGGATGGTGAGTGAGTGGGTGAGTGAGTGAGTGAGTGGGTGAGTGGCTTGGTGGATGGGTGAGTGAGTGGGTTAGTGAGTGGATGAGTGAGTGAATGAGTGGGTGAGTGGCTGGGTGGATGAGTGACTGGCTGGGTGGATGGTGAGTGAGTGAGTGGGTGGGTGAGTGAGTGAGTTGGTGAGTGAGTGGGTGAGTGAGTGGGTGAGTGAGTGAGTGGGTGAGTGGCTGGGTGGATGGGTGGATGGGTGGATGGGTGAGTGGGTGGGTGGGCGAGTGAGTGAGTGGGTGGGTGGGTGAGTGGGTGAATGAGTGAGTGGGTGGGTGAGTGGGTGAGTGGGTGGGTGAGTGGGTGGGGTGGGTGGGTGATGTTTGCATTTGCGTTGTGTATACAGTACGTATGGTCGCTACCGTCGTAATCACAGAGATCGCTAGGGAATCGATGTGCGTGCAGTTTGCACTCAATATTTGACGCAAGCTGTCAACTTATACAGTCGTTGAAAAAGTCTACAGGTCGACGACCACTGCCCATGTGAAACTAACGTGCACGTTAAATGGGTTATATTCTGCACTGAGCAATCTCATGACACACACGAACAGCCCCGTACAACCGGTTACTCCAGATTCTCGCGTCTATGGCGAACAGAAGCTGCTGCTGTCGCTGCTGATGAAGTTAATAGCGTACAGCAGTCTACACAAGGCGATTACATCACACGCTATGGCATAGTATACAGTATTCACAATACACCATCATGTGTGTTTACGTCTTGAGACACAGGCGTATTTAAATGCTGTATAAAACCACATTGCACCACGCTGTGTGTATTGTCCAGTGGTTTGCTGGACAGTATACGGTAACCGAATTTGTTAGCGGCACCCTCCACTGAAGGCGGCTTATTGGGGTTCGATGACGATGGGATACTAGTATTGATCACGACGCTTATTACAGGCATGTATAACTTTACTTCCGTTATTCAGTTTTAGCGATGTACCGAGTGAATCAACGACTCGGCTATGCGTGCACAATTGTAACCAGATGTAATACTCTCGAGAACAACAGCACTCCAATTCACTTGCTGACGATTGGCCGTGTCGTACGGCGGCAATTACATCTGCCACTGTCAATTGACGTGAACTGCAAACACTACCCGTGCAATAATACAAAGATCCTCCGTATAGCCTGACACAGGCTGTTGGGGCAAGTGTCGTTAGCGAGCACCTCACACAATAATACAAACACACGCCTCTCTATCCCTCTCACACACACACACGCAGGCCGCTACTCGCCGTCCGTCCACTTCATACCACCACCACCACCCACCTACCTGATGATATCGTCCGTGTGGCCGAGAAAGAATTTCTGCCGGTGGTCACGAGTGTTGTACACCACCCCGACACCGGCCACAAAGTACACGAGCTCCCGTGCCGCCGTGTAGTAGAGGTTGTTGCGGCATTGGTGGCCGCGGTACCCGTAAACCCACTCCAGGCGGAGCTGACCGAGCGGCGGGGTTCTGTCAGACATCGCCCGGCAGAGCGAAGACTCCCTCGCCTCCTCCTACTCGTCCTCGTCGTCGTCTTCTCGCTTTGGCGACCCCTCAGCCCCCCCCCCACCCCCCCCCCCCGGGACGTCAAGTCTGTCCGTCCGTCGCTCCTCGCTTGCTGCTGCTTGCTGCCGCTGCTCAGGGATAATGATACCGCCGCAACTGCTGTTTCTCTCCACCCTCGCCCGCGCGCCGCTGCCAACACCTATCCCGTCCTTAGCGAAACCTCGCCATTATGGCTCCAGCTACAGCTGCTAAAGCGAGAGAGAGATGCACTGAGACACAACGAGAGGGACGGTTGGCAGTGTACGTTTGGTGGGGGGGGGAGGGTTACGCCTCGACCCGTAGTTGTGCGGCCCGCGGTCGGAGCGGCGTGCGAATGGGGCCGCCTCGGGCCGCCTTTACAGATTCAGCACCACGGACAGCGGGCGCTCGCAGCGCGTCACGTGACCGGCGCGCTTGATGATGTGGTCGTGGTGTGCGCGTGTAGCGGATGGGGTTGGGAATAGGAATCGAGGGGCGGGGGGTTGGGGCACCCTGAGGGGAGAAGGGGGACTCCGGACGGACGACGGCCGTGAGAGCAAGCGACGGCTCATATTTCTGAGTTTGGTGCACGGCGTGACGATTCGCGCTCGGTCGATTGCGCCGGATCAACAATGATCCGATCGAGTGTCAACGTTCGTGGTCGCGCTTCAGTTTGAAAATAATTTTAATCGAATGTTCACAAATTCGATTATCTGTGAATTTTACTGCGCAATTATGTTACGTGTGTGTCAATGGTTGTTGAAGGAAAGAATGAAAACGAGGCAAACATAATCGATTAATATAATCAGGAATTAATAAAGCGTCGAGATGTAATTTATGATGATGATTTCCTTCAAAGGCTACAGCTGAAATTCGTAGGGGGACGGGGTGCAGTCGAGTGTTTACGAGACAAATCCTACAACCAAAATGTTCAATCCATTTCCTCCGTAATATATTTTTTTTCTTAAAAAAAAACCTAAAAATGCTATGCTGCATATTTGGACAGCAGAGCGCAGTGCACGAAAATCTAACGTTGTACTCTACTTCGATGCTCCTACGTCTATGCTGCCCGCCATCACCAACCAACCCACACTGACAACCCGTGGTTTTAAGTACTTTGGTCAAATAACCCCCCACCCCCACGACCCGCGTGGTGTGGGGGTGGGGGGTGGGAAGCCATCCAGCAGTGGCTTGTTAAAACGGCTGTACGTGTAAGTTTTGTAAATGAGTATTTTTAAGGAGTGCTGGTAACGTTCTTAAAAACTCTGGACAGCGGTTGATTTTATGCCTCCAAATTAGCGGGCATGGGCAAAACAAAAAAACATGTTTTTCATGATCAACGTAAGCTTATATCTGGAGGTCTTTAAATGCATGTGCATCCCCTGATGATGACATTTTCGCCGACCCAATCTTTCTGGAACTTTCCGGAAGAGTGTGACGCTGAAACCAATGGAGAAGCAAATACCGAAGACTGGTGCAGTGCTGTATTCTATTGATACCAGACACAATGCATTGAATGCGTCTATTGTCGCGAATGTAGGGCCCTATATACAAGGCTTGAAACTTTGGAACGTTCCAGCCGACATTACCTTATATAAGGCTTCCTACCACTGTGCTTAAACTGGCCATGAAATAAGCCTATAAATTGAACCGCCATAAAAAAAATATATATATGTTCGTACTGCCATAACAACATTCTGGAATTGTGCCCCGTTAAAAAGATTTATATTCAACGAAACTGCTCCCTTGTAAAGTTACAGATCCACCTCTGGTTATAAGTATAGTACTATACCCTATTACCAATTCGCTCATTAACCGCGTGAAGTGCGTACCTGTGTAGTACTGTAGTCGTGGCGAGTTGTACCGGAGCGCGTAACGGGATTCCTGAGTAATTCACAACTTAATTAGGGACATGCAAATGAGCAAAGACATCGTTACAGTCAATCAGTCAAATTTCCCGGTGCCGCGCCTGCTTGCTGCCTTGATCATGCATAATCCATGGGTTCCCGCACAATCATTCATATTAACACAGTTAATCTATTCGAGAAAGGTTAGAGTTGCATAATGTAGTAGGAAGCAATGCGTTCGGTGGCATGCCCTTTCTCTCTCTCTCCTTTCCTCCATCTGTTTATTGCTAAGCCAGCTAAGAGTTCACTAAAATTACGGGCCAATCTCACATTCCCACCCCCAGCGTGCGTTTAGGTCTGTCTTGGTTTTTTTTTTAAACCAACGAAATGGCCAGCGAGTGAATAAGACTGCAATGCAGCCCGTTCTCTCCACAGGAACGCCTTTCAGGGTCGCGGCTTAGGATGCGGCGTGGATAACGTGCACGAGATAATTTCCAATATGCACACTTTGCGACGACAAACACGCCCTCGTGAACATGAGTACACCAAATATTTGTCGATGCTGCTGCTGCGTTGGAAGTGGCGCATAAGCACAGACGACAGATAACTCCCTTTCGTCATTCACACCAGATGGCCTTCAAAAGGACATATATAAGGGGCGATGTTTCGGGCAACGACTGGAGGCGTGGACATGTGATCTAGGGTGGGGGGTGGTGGTTGGGGTGGGGGGGGCAAGGACGGGGGGAGGGGCAAAAACCCCAAACAGGGTCGCAGAGCCACTGCTGCAATGATGGTGCTCTGGTGAATCAATTAAATGATAGCTCAATGAAGTGGCTTATCACGTGGAAATGTATAGCAGCCGTATACTCTAAGCGCGTGTTTCTAAACGTGGAGGGAAAAACAAGAGGACCGGACAAAAATCCACGCGACCACGGAGAGAGACACGCAAACTCCACATATACAGCAGGCGTCGACCTCCTGCATACCAGGCGAGGTAGTTAACATCTCGCCAACACGCCGTGGGGGAGGAGGCCTTGGTCCAGAGATGGCCTGAGCGGGGGCTTTAATTCGTTTCCTTCATTATCACCGATTTTACTTTCTGCACGGTGGCACCCCCCCCCCCCACCACCAAGATGAATAACCCTGGAGAGGGCGACCTTTAGCAAAAGCGATGGACGTGGCGAGCGAGACTCCATCCCAATCCGTCTTGCCGACGCAGCTCGATACGGCAGCGTTCCCCTCGCTTTCAAAACACGCCGCGTGTTCTCTGTCACAGCCTGCAGGATGCGAGGAACGACTTGGGCCGGTGTTCTTCATTCATTTTCAGAGGAGTAGGGGGGGGGTGGTGGCGGGCGGGGGGCACTTTCGCCGATAAGACATCGTCAGAGTGAGGGCCGCCACCTCCTGCAAAGGGGTGGGGGTTGTCAACTCGTTGTGTCCTCTCGGGGGGCCGCAGGGCAGGTGCCGCGCTAAAGGCCTACAGGGGCCGCCAGTGCGACCGCGGGGCCTTGCAATGAAAAACGCCGGTGGAGCCAAAAGCAACCAGAATCGCAGCGGCACTTTTCGGTGCGTCATACCGAGCATGCTTCACCACGCTGGGTCATGCAGCTTGAAGTGAGGGTGGCTCTCACCTCTCGCCAACTCCTGTGGGTGTCCCTAACACCGTGGCCTTAAAATGATTTTTTTACATAAAGGGCAACGTTTCGGGCAATGGTCCTTAGTCACGCACGAGTATCCGCGTGAATACGGGCCAGTGCCCCAACATGTTATCTCGTTTATTTTCCTTAAGGCCGCACGTGGTCAATGATGCGTTGGGTTATTTGTGCCAACGCGGCATGAGCGTCGCCAAAATAATTTTGCTTTCGGCCTCCTCAGGTCTACCAAGTCTCGCAAGTTTGTTCGTCGCCTCCGATGAAACGCGGTTGGCTACGTACAGTGCGAAGGAAGTTCAACATACAAACTCAACTGAACTATATATTTTTTTATGTCACCAGGTAAGGACCATTGAGCTATTTTATTTAGAAGGGACCTGGCGACAAATGATAGCTCAACAAAGTAGCGTATCACGTGGCCAATGTCTACAGCAGCCAAATGCTCAAAGCGTGTAAAGTTGATTCGAAATACTCTGGGGTCTTTCGGTTAGGTCACGTCAATAAAAAATAATACATCACGACGTTTTGATCGCAACACACGCACTCGTCTTCAGGTGAATCGTCTTCAGTTTCACTTTCATGTTATAGGTATAACCCTGTGAGCCATGCGGCTCTTGACTCGGGTGCAACCGCAACAAAACAAAAACATGAACAAGGAACATCTTAAAGTGACTAACACGCAACAGACACAAATCCTGGAAAAAACAGCAAAGGCTTCCAGAAAAAAACACCGCATTTCAACGCTGTGTGCAAAAATCCCAGTGGGATGCACTGGGATGCACTGGGATTCTTGCACAAAGGTCTTCAGGTGGAGACGATTGCTTGTGTTGCGATCGAAACGTCGTGATCTATTATTTTTTATTTACGTGACTTGACCGAATGACCCAGCAGTATGAATTCCTGCAGTCACGAAAGCTTTAAATCAAGATTTAAGTTGAAATGTGGAGGTAAGTTCCGTGAAGGAAGGGTCCTCCACCAATAGTTGCCAGTAGCCTGGGGTAGTGACTGTGTGCGTAACAAACGACGGTCAAACAACCCCCGACCCATGTGATTGATGCGGCGTGGAAGATGCCTACTCTATACAGGCATCAGATTATTTAAAGTATTTAAAGCTTAAATATACGCTGCCAAGCATGGTGGTGCCCATTCAGACGCTGTCTTTCCGACAGACCTGTTCTTCACCTGAGGACGGCTGCTTGCGTTGTGGCCGAAACGTCGTGATAATTATTTTATGATGTTTTATTTTTATTATTGTATTATTTCCCTTCTACGTGACTTTACCGAAAGAACCAAGAAGATATTTAAAGCTCGTTGAAGATTGACCGGCATGAAATAATTGATATTTGTAAAACAAGGGCATATGAAACAAGCATGTTCTCTCACGAATGAGGGGCGTTCAAATATAAAATAGGATTTGCCAAATGTAGTCATGTCTCGTCGTTTTCGACTTGTGCTGACACGGCACGCAACCTTGCTAACACATCTCGCGAGACATAACGCGGCGAACAGACACTCAGCTCAAACAAAGGCAAAGAACCCCCGTATAGCTTTAACTGACTGTTGGGGCAAGTGCTGTTACCTAGCACCTATCAAGGCCGGCACGGCCAACACCACGCCCGGCTGTCTTTGCCTCCCTAGTGGCGATGTTTACACACCGCATCAGGTAGTCATTTGAGGTTGAGTCGACCTAGGGGAGGCCCGAGACCAATTCAGATAATCGTCACTGGGTGTTGGCCGTGAGCGGGAATCGAACCCGGGTCGCCAGGTTCGTAACACAGCGCGCTAACCGCTACACCACCGCTCCCCACACGCAGGGCACACACACGGACACCTCATGGATCCTCCTTATGTGAAATTGATTTCTGTCATCCGTACACTCCTAGTT